AGCGACTTCTTGTGTTAAATTTCTAACTCCCTAAACCGCTAGAAAATTAGCGCAGTCATAAAAGGCGTATGTGGCTTTAGCAATGCAGCTGAAAAGAAAAAATTAATAATCCTGCCACTCAAAGTAAAAGGCAGAGCCGAAGAATGACTGCTGCCTTTTCAGCTTCCTGACCCTTCTCCCTTCTGCCTCCAAGTGCAAAAATAGCCTCACCCCCTGTGCAGGCCGAAAGGAAGGGCTCGTCCCTCGGACCGTCCCTGCAGACACTACACTATAGCAGCAACGCACTGCTATAAGGTGCATGACTACAGGATATCCTAAATTAATTTACATAGATATATAAATATATGCATGTGTGTGTATTTTGCATGAAATGTGAAACCAGTGATTTCTTAGCCAACCCCTTAATTTGTCTGAAACAGCGCAGGCAGAATGGAAACTGCCCACACATTTTTCCATTAAAAGTTACAAAGGGAAGAAGGGAGGGGGAACTGGTGACAGAAAAACACATGCTCTCTCAGCTGTCACATAAATGCTGTGCAGCCAGGCAGCAACACACTCAGGCTGGTTTGCTGGAAAAAGCATCACTTTAATTCTGGTGTTTGCTGATGGCCGTCTTCCTGTTCACGCCCTCCCTCCTAAGGGTGCTCTGGGCTCCCTCTGTATGGAGGGGAGGGACAAAGCTGCACTTGTGCCTGTGCAGGTGCATGCAGTGAGTGTAACAAGTTCCCAGCTTGTCCCTATGTGCTTTGCAGGCTTCTTCCTCTTCTGGATTGCAAAGAATGCACCTTGCCATGCTGCTGCCCCTCGTGTGGCGTCAGAGGGTCGTGCGGGTGGCTGGATGCAGCCTGTGGAGTAACTTTGTCGGAGTGGGTTATGAACAGGCTCCCTGCCCTGCCAGCTTCTTGACCCTGCTAGGCATGGCGCTCGCCAGGTTTCCCTGTAGTCTGTCCAGCCTGAATGTGAGTAATTTTCTCCAGGGATGGATGAATGTGTGACTCTGTGTGTCCGAGGGTATGCCGCGGCAGTGCCGCCCAGCAGGTACCCGCTGCAGCGAGCCATGCTGGCTGCTGGGCAGCTCCAGAGGCACCTTGATGGAGAAAGGACAGGGAGCAGGGGGAGGCCTAGGGGAGCACTGGTGGTTCCTCAGCCTTGGGCAGCTCCCCGGGCCATCAGCACGAGGTGCAGGCGCTCCCTCGCTGCCTTTCTGCTGCCGACCAGGGAGACCACCACCGGTGAGGGACTGCGGCATCAGGGCTCTGTGGTCTGGCAGGGGCATCCCCTTGCTGAATGGCTCACGGAGACGCGACCACTCCTCGGCCGTGAAGCAGCAGGTTCTGGGGAGGTTGCTTTTCCCTGGGACAGGCTGCTTTTCCCCCTCTCCCACTTTCGACTTGCCTGACCCACCCAACTGAAAGCGTCAGGTGCACCAGTTATTTGTTGCAGCCCACCTTACAATCGCAATGAAAAGGCTGTATACGGACAAGGCAGTCCTAGGAACGCGCTAGCCTTTTTTTGAAAGAACGCGTTGTGTTGACAGTGCTAACTGTTCTGCACAGCGGGGGGGAAAAATGCAGCTGGTAACTAATGTGGGATGGCAGGGATTTGTCACTGCATGTATGTTTTTGCTTTTCCCTATATTGTCCTATAACCCTTATGCATCACTGCGGGTTCTGCTAGTGGAACTTTGCTGCTCAGCAGCTGTTTGGGCAATGTGAAGCCAGACCTGCTCATCCTGTTATCCAGCGAAGGTACGTATCCAGTCCACTTGTGGCTGCCTCGGGGCGCTGCCCCACACACCTTTCTCAGCAGCAGTGCCAGCTTCAGGCGTTCCTGCCGACTCGGCTCTCAAGCCATGCGGTAATCTGTATCTCTCAATTGATGTGGGTTAAAAATAACTTGGATGACTTGACTGGTTCCTTTGGCTGCGCAGAGAGCTGTGCTCACCCAGGAGGCAGGTAGGGCAGAGGAACGAGAGGCCAAGGGTGAAAACACCCTACACTGGCTCCACTGATGGGAACCGGCTAAAGGGAACTGCTCAGATAATGGAGAGGTTGCCATAAAGTCTGTATTCAAAGTTCCCATTTGGGAAGCAGGAGGTCTTACTGGTGGGGGACTCTCAGGATTTCTCGGTGTTGACACCATGAGACCGGTTTAGCTCTACTTGTTTCAGTTCCCCTCAGATCTTTGGTTGGGTCTTCCAATATGCCTGTTCTGTGGTAACTTAGAAATGTAGTAACAAACAGCTTCTTCTAACTACCCACCTGTGCCTAGGAAGGTAAGCCCGCAAACCCTTCTGTAGCACTTTTACTTATTCTAATATGAAGAGCTCAGTATTTAAGAGACTGAGCAAAAAGTCACTCCAGGTACAATCATCTTAGCCGTTGGAAAGGAGAGAAATAGCAGCCCAGCCCTGAATGTATCATAATTTATTGTAAAACTGGACTGACTTTGTTTTTAGTAAAGCCCGTCGCTTAAGACTGCAGAAGTGCGAATACTCTCTTGATCTGTGCTCCAGGACCCATCTTATGAAAAGCCTGCTAGGTCCTTATCAGTGGTTATAAGGCTTCCTCAGTGTTTTGAGCCTTGGCAAATCATCAGTGATAACACTTGAAACTTTGTGCGTTATTTCATTTATTAGAACAATTTTTCCTCTTCCCTGACACTTTATTTGTTATGTTCGGTATTAATGGCGTAGTAGCATTTCTCAATAGCACCATAACTTACTAATCCATAAACTGCAGGGATGTGTTTTATATTTCAAGAACTGTGACTGCCCTCTCATCGCCCTCCCAGAGAAACCCGAGACTGTTGTTGCCCCCACACTGCTAAGCGAAGTAAAAAGCAGCGCTTTCTCCCCCCGTTGCAGAAAATGCCCGTCTTCCCTGTTAAGAAGTAAGTGACTGATCCTGGTGTTGCTTATGCCTTTCATCCATCTGCTGTCAATTTAACTGGCTCCGTGAGCTAGTGACTCCTTCTTATGACCTTGCAAGAATTTATAAAACCTGGTTTCTATAAAAATTAAGGGGCGATCTCCATGTTTACCCTCTTGCTCAACCAACCGTGTTTTGTTACTACCAGCTAGTGCTAGAATAGATCCACGCCTCCCCCCACCTCCCCCTCAAGTCTGCATCTAGGATGGTCTGATGACTTGACCAAGATTTCCAGCTGCTGAAGCTACCTCAACAGATCGGTTGCTGCTGCATATGCGCAGTGGCTTTGCCCGGACCGCTGTGTGGCTGGAAACCTGGAGCGTAAGCGCAGTGCTGAGGCTCTGCAGCCTGTCCGACTGAGTCTGTTGGATCTGGGGAGAGCCTTCGCAGCCTGTGTACCACATCTGGGGTCAGGGTGGGCATCCAGGGCCCAGGCTGCTCTTTAATCCCCTCATCTGCAGCGTCTGGGCAGACCAACACAAGGCTGATGATACTTCCCCAACTCAGCGGGCCTATTACACTTATGTTAATGTTGGGGGGGCGGGTACTGTGCATGCATCTGTCCGGGAAGTCGCAATCAGCCAGCACCTGAAAGGCCAACAGAGCTAGGGAAAAGATGTACAGTATGTACATAGCAGGAGTTGTTGTCTTTCATGGCTGTCTTGAACCTTTCAGTTGCGACTGACCGCAGCGCAAGATCGGCTTCACCACCATGTGAGGTTCTGCTGCAGTGCACATGTGCGTATCGGACCACATAACCTGAAAGCAGGCACTTTGTTTAGCCTTCGTTTTCCAAATGAAGACACGAACTTGCAGCAAGACAGCCTATTGCAGGATGGAACTGTAAGTATTTATTTACCTGTGGTGTAATTTTTATCCTTCATAAGAATGCAGGTGTCAGCTGCTTAATTACAGCATTATGTATGTCAACTTGCACTTTATAAAAATTTGCAAGTAAAACTTTTCCCTAACAACAGTCTTAGTCTTGGCAATCAAGTTCCATCTACGGAAGCCTTTCAGGTTAGAGACATATCCCACGTGTGAGTTATTGTTACAATTCAATAAATACTTTACAAAAATAATGCTAGCTTCTTAAAAAAATTAAGACATTTTAACTCAACTCACCAGTAGTTCCTCCCAGACAGCTTCCTTAAAGAAAAGCTTCTGTAGGACACTGTGCACTCAGCATATGACAAATGGGGGAAAAGGGCTGGTTTCATGCTTTCTGTCAGGGAACTCAGAAATGTGTCTTCCACTTTTCCTGTTCTTTTAAAAAAATAAACTTACTACTTCTCTTAAAAGAAAGAAACAAGCAGATCTAAACACTTCTCATATTAAAATTTGGGAAGTAACTCTGATTTTTTTTTTTTTCTTTGACATGGTTTCCTCCTCTGGCCTCATTCCTCAGAAGACTTACGGCATGCTTAGTTTATAGGTAGCTGCCCTGAAGGCCTGCTCCCCAGCATAAGACTAAGCCCTGACAGCCGTAGCTCTGTATTAGAGATGTCTCCAGGAGCGGGCTGTTCGTAGCTCTTGCCAAACCACTGGATCGGGACTTCTTCTGCTCCGTAGGAAAACCATGGTCACATCTCCCTGCAAGCGTATCCCAGACGGACTGCAAAGACCTGAGCTAGAAGGTAACAGGAGGAATTCCAAGAAAACAGTGCTAGTAACTGTCTGCTCACTTTTGAGTATTACCTTTCCAAAAAAAAGTCTTCCTTTCTTAGATATGACTAGTCATTAAATCAATTATAGAGAAAATTGATGCTGTAGGTGCATTCATCTTGTAAACCATTCCCATATGGAAGAGTACATTCTTTAGTCCTATTATTTATAACAACTTTTAAATATGTGCCCTCCTCAGCTGGGGCGTGATGGTGATGGCAGCTCTCTCTCTGCCCCCCGCCCCCCCCGCAATGTTACAGTTGGGGAATAAAGTGAAATGCACGTTATTAAATGAGCGTTATTGCAGTACAAAATCCTACCAGGACAGGTTTTATGTATGTCTGTATGTAAAAATTGGTGTGTGTCAGATAGAGAGATACGTGTTTATAAATTACACACACTATGAAAAATACTTATGTATTATATTACAACTATATACATTCATTAGGAAGAAACTGATCAATCAACCCCTGTCAAGGAAACAATGCAGCAGCCCTTATCAGTTCTCTGGCATCCAGGAAAGGAATGCTGTTGTGTGTCTGAAGAAGAGGAAAATCTTCTCAGTATTCCCTTGCTTCCTGAAATTGCTTGTAGTAGTCTTCGTCTGAAGGGTTTTCTGTACACTTCTGCCCATTGTTCGGAGGCCGTGCTTCATTGTATCGGCTCCAGTCCCCCTTGCATATAATCCAGGGCAGAATGTCCACTTTGTAATGGAGTTCTGCTGAGAATTCGATGCTGATCAGGTTTGGTGTACCTGCCCCTTTCCCCCTGGTAATCAGCTGCATATTATCATCATAGCAGCAGTGCTGCGCTGCAAGCGTTGTGCTTTCCAAAGAGAGCATGGAGCGGATGCAGTATCGTGCAGTGGGCTTATAGATCTCCAGTTTTTCCTTGGGACCACTTGCATCTTTCCAGCGGAAGTTTTTCCTCTTAATTCGATCATAGATTTCAGCAGTGCTGTATGCAACTTCTCTGGGGTAGGAGCATGGGCAGCTGGGGAGATCGTTGACCACTTTGTGCATATATTTCTTCAAGAACTCGCTTTTGCAGCTCATCCATCTTTCACAGCTATCAGTATCTGTTTAAGGGCAGGAAATGGAAACTTAAGATACGTTACGCAGCACCCCCCAGTTCCTACGATCAGTGAAATGGGTGAAGCGTAACTGTTCAGCACCAGGGCTTTGCTTAAGAAAGAAAGGGCGGTCAGGGCTTGCCTCCTTGCCTGCAATGTGTTCATGCCCTGTCTTGGCAGATAAAGAAATCACACGTGTGACTGGCTGGAGGGCGTCAGGCAGGGCTAGTCTGAATTACAGTGCAGCGCCGTGTCAGTAGGAATCTCTGTGGCTGCTTCTACCTGGCAAATTCCTGGGTTTACAAGCAACGGAACTGAAATAGGGAAATGGCAGTGATTTGGTGCCAGTCTCCAGCTGAGCCCCCAGGCCCACACACTCACCTGGTAAGAACAGCAGATTCATATGTGGAGGGATTATGTTTCTCATGATGCTAGAAGCACCAAGATGGCAAGCAAGGCCTGGATTACTTTTTCTGAAGCTCATTATTAAGCCCAAATTAAGTCTTTCTTTTAGCTAACGATACTTTCTTTTCTGCTTGGTCTCCATCTTCTCAAAGGGGCATTTCAAGCAGCTGTAGTTCAAACATGGAGACTGACATCTTAGCTGGCAAATGCAGCCAAAAGTTATCTAGATTCTATAAAGGATGTATGTGACCTAGTATCAGAGTGTCTGTACATTAGGAGCGTTTAATGGCAGCAGAGCCATGACTTACAGTTGGGATTAAAGAGATTTATAGACTAGTAGCATATTTAAATATTGGCACTTTATTATGTTGCAAGGGTCCTGGGAGAATCCAGTTAAACATCTCCTACCTAAAACACTGTTTAAAGTGTCTGTATCATGCTACAGGCTTTCAAAAACAACCCTGCACATCTTGCTCCACAGTTACTTAACAGGACTGTAGAATCAGGCAAAGACTGGGACTTAAAACTCTTACAGCAAACATTCTTGCAAAACATTTACTTAGTGATCTGTGTCCTGTTCTCCTGTCTCCTTAAAGAGTCTTATCAGGTGTCATTAACTATAGTACTCTATCACCATAGGAGGGAGGTGCTGGGTTACATTATTTATCCAGTTAGTCCAGCATCCAGTGTCTAAGAGTGGCCACACTCTGGTTTCATCGGAGGGATGAAATCAGAACGTTTTAGAGGTTGGGGTGAGTTTTAGATAGATCAGTATCAAGTCATGCCCTAGAAAATGGCTTTGGCTAGCCCTGCTGCAGCACACACAGTTACAAAAGCTATGCATGCTCATTAAAAAAAAAAAAGTAATTGCCTTTTTTTTTTTAATGTGACAGCTGTACCTAAAATGCTTTTATAGTATCTTCCATTCAAGGCTATTTCAGCAAAATACTAAATAGTGTCTGATTTTTTTTTTACCCTCCATTAGCGTGGAGCCGTACAGCTCTTTTCTGAACTAGGACAGAGCATCACCATTTTATAACGAAAGCAGCACAGAAATTTGCTAAGACTTAAGATGAGAAAGATTCTATGACAGAAGCAAGCTAAGGTTCAGATTGTAAACTTAAGCAGCATAATAAATGGCCATTATTACTGACTTTTTTTTAATGGTAAACTCAAAATCTTGGTCCTGCAGCGAGAGGCAAAACAGGAAAATCTAAGGAAGTCTCTTATCTATTACTGAAAGATTGACTAGGCTGCTTACCAACTTCAAACAGTTTGGTAGCGTTGAAGTCTTCACTTCCCGCAAGTAAACTCACTTCTGTGGCAGCTGTCCGGAAGGTATCTTCGATCCCTGAGACAAACACGTGTTAGCAGTGGCAGTGGTGTTTTCCTATTAGAACACAATGCAATCAACTGCCTCCCCGCCTCCCCAGTTTTGCCAGGTGCTTTTGTTTGGCGGGGAGGTAATTCCAAGTCAGTGCTGGAGGGAGCGTTCATTTAAAAGTATAATGACATGGGAATCTGTGGTGTTACGAAGGCGACACATTAGCTTAGCCCAAAAGTCAAAAGTTTTCAAGTTTTAGAGCTTGGATTATATTTAAGCAACATAACCAGTCAGTTACAAACGCCGGGCAGAGACTGCAGCGAGGGAACCGATTCCGTTCCTCCCCCTCCTGATGCACGGCTTGCCAGCATCTCCCAGTGATTCAGGTAGGAGCTTTGCACACGCTTCACCAACAGCCACCTGGTCAGCTTTATGCGACCAGCATCTGCCCGAGCACGTATCACAAGTGACTGACAAGATAAAAGCAATGGAGGCTCTGAAGCCCGGGGTAAAAAGGTGCTATCTAAAGGCAACGGCCTTTGTGCCACTTTCTAAAACAGAGTGATACGCCTGAAGACAGGCTACTAAGGTCATATCCGTATGTGAGCAAACCATTTTTCAGGAAGTACGAGGAAGAATGATGCTGTTACAAGAAGACCGGTGCTGCTTGGTCTCTCCCACTGCTAAAGAGTTGAAAGGTGTGAGCAGGCCAGAGATAAAATAACCTCTCCAACCGATCCCATCCCCTACCACCTTTAGCAATCAAATGAAGTATCAGGATCTTAAAATACCAGGATCTTCCAACAACCTCCAGGTAAGCGTTTGGTATCAGTAGCGGGAAACACGGGTTGCCAGAAAAATGTATTAACTGATCTTGACAAAGTAAACATCCTTTCACTGCTGCTTTAGTTTGGCCTACCTACCAGCCTAATGCCACCTGAATGTTTCTGTGCCGTGTAGCCTTAGAACAAATGTCTCTTCAAAGAAGCATTTGAACAGGTTTGGGTGTTGGGGTTTTTTTTCCTCTCCACTGAATTAAAGACCTCCAAAGAGAGCAGAAAGCTCTTACAGTACGTGATAACTACATGGTTAATAATGAAGTTTGTTCACCATCCATCTTCTTGCCAATGAACTTTCTCCTCATCTCCTGCACTGGGGCATAATAGTGGCTTGCAAAGCTTCAAAACAGCCTCAGGCCGCTTTTCAATAAAATTATCATAGGGTTTTGCCTTAACTCCAGCAGTAGATGCAGAATAATAGATACCCAAGAAGCCATTACAAGGCAGTAATTCACTGCTGGAATTATAAAGAGCAGAAGCTGAGCTTTGCCCTTGTAATTTTAAAAATGTCAGCACAGCCTCAAAGAGTGAATATATTTTGCTTGCTGATCGTTGGGGGTCTGTTACATGACATAATATATTCTTTCAAGCTTGCCACTGTTTGATGCTAGCTGGTAATAAATACGAGAGAATGTAACTGGGGGCTACATGCTTTCTTCTGGAACTAACCCCTTATTACGGAGGTTTTAGGATGTATGAAAGCATCCAGAAACACTTTTCAGTGTTTCATCCTGAACTGCCAAGCAGCCGTTACCTTACAGTGGATGCACGCATCTACCTGCGAGCGAGTGCCTTCTCTCCAGCTCTCTCACTGAGGCTCCTACGTCTTCTCTCCAGCGCTGCTGACATTTCACTTCCCGTCAAAAAAACCCTGGCCTCCAGTTTAAGAATTTCTGCCTTTCTGAGTCATTAAGTAAACTTGGTGAAATGCACGCCGCCGTGGCATGTGCTTTTACTTCTCTGCAATCTTGGGAAGTAATGACATTGCACATGCCCCATGCACTGTGGCAACTACTGCGTCACTGCATTACAAACATTGCCTAAACCCAAACACTCAGCAGCGTTTAAAGAACATCACGGGAAAGTTTTCCATAGCAGCTTTACATTTTTACGATGTCGGTTCGAGAGCTCAGCCCTGCTTTCACCGCCAAAGCGCAAACGGCACAAGGGTAAGGGCGCCTCCATTACTGGCATTTAAATGTCAGCGCCTGTAGACAGGTCGGAGCTAAGGTACAGCTCCTTGTCCATATTTTCTGAATACGCGCAAGCCAAAACTATATGTTCCTTCATCCCATTGGGCACAGCTGCTGCAGGGCCAAAGTTGCTGCTTTATAATGCTCCAGTTATCAAGCAACATCTCTGTAATGAAACAGAGATGATACTTCCACCTTAACATTGACTTTCCTAGGACAGGAAATTTTGTTGCTTAATGCCCAATGAACCCAAAATCTCTGGAGTGAAATGCACAGCAGGTATTTAAAGTGGTTTGGGTTGTTTTTTCATATTAATACACATGGAGTCTTAAAGCAACTCTGCATACCTTAGGCACAAAACTTAGAAGCCTTGTAACTGGGGTGGAGCTACCTGTTCACAGCACAGGCACGCGCACTCACTGCACAGCAAAATAGGAGCTCGCTGAGGTAACAGCATAGCTGTTTGTTTTGAAATTCTAAAATGAATACCAATTTGTTTCAAGACAGTAGATTACACCCTTTGGAATAGAAAACGTACCGTGCATAAAAATGACTGCTGTAATCTAAAAACAGGCTGTATTTGCCTTGTAAGTCCCAGGGGACAGCAGAGTGCATCTAGCAGTGTATTACCGCTAGCAAAGAACCTGCCAGTTCATAAATGGCCCTGAAAAGCAGCGTGTCTCTTCCCACCAGAACGCCTACCTAGCCAGGGAAGAAACATGCCCTGGGCTTTGTGTACAGGAGGGCTGGCCTCCCTGCCCCGCGACCGCCTCTCCCCACTCCCCTCTGACAGCAGTTGACGTCAGCATGGTCACACCTGGGCAGTTGGGCCTGTCGCAGGTCCGCGACTCGGTGGCAGTGCAGGCGTACCCGCAGGATCTCGTCCGCTTCTGGGTGCCGCTCCCGCAGGTGACGCTACAAAGGGACCACGGGCTCCAGTCTCCCTCACCGTCAATGTAATCTGTGTAAGAACAAAGGTGAGGAAGGAAATGAAGAAACAACTACTACTACCCAAAACTACTGTGTAGTGTTTTTTATTAAGGCGGCAAACGAAGAATGGAATCCAGATGTCTCTACCTGAAGCTTGGGCTAATGCCAGGCATAAGCCTGCTGTTTAAATGGTTTTCACACTTGATGCTCCTCGGGGAAATGCATGCAACATTATTTGAAAAAACATTTCCTTTCTCTTTTGACCTTTTGGCAGCTGAGAATCCTCAGCTGCAAAGCTGGGTCATGAACTAAACAGTACACATCTATTCACATATTTCCCTGTACACAGGAATATGTTTTCTGACCACAGACTAATCAGGCACAGGATAAATAAAGTTTCCTTCTTCTTCTTTTCAAAACACACAGCAATAGCACAATACTCAATTTTTTGGACACACTATGGGAGGCTGAGGGTCATGCGTGAAAATGGCCATTTTGTTCTTCAACACCGCCATGACTATAGGGAACCGCATACGCATCTCGCCCCCAGAACAATGTCCCATTTGTAGTGTTTCGTGTGACTTGACTTAGTAAATAACATAAGAGCTGACTGTTTACTAGCAGGAACCTTCTGAAAAACGAAACATGACTTTATTCTCTTCTGGTAGACAGCCAAGGGCAAAAGATACCAAGTCTGCATCACTGTGGCTCGGTGCCACTGTACGTACCTAAACCCCTTAACAGTCCCCTTGGTTTGCCGAGTTAACTGTTGCACAGGCCACCAAGTGGAGTCCAAGAACCAATCCCAGCTTTCTTGCCTTCCCACTGGCCTCCCCAGCCGAGTGTTGTCTCTTGCTAGGGAATGTCTGGCTCAATGGATTTCTCTGCAACCTAGAGAAGATACTTACTGACCCTGTGATCATAACTTGCAGCCTTCGCTCATCTGGGTTAAACCAGCACTGGTGGCAAAACAAAACCGGGTTTAGTGACTCTGAGCCAGCCCTGATCTCTGTAGCTATAGGCTGAACGTGCACATACAGACAATACATCGGGACAGATCCCTGCCTGCACTGGCCTCTGTGCTACACGTGATTCCCGCTTCCCCCGCCATGCTGTCTGTGGGCTTCCTGAGCTGGTTAGTAGAACACGTAACTTGATTTGTACCATATGTAATGACTGACGACAACTCTGTGGGGTGCTATTAAACATTTACTGCCATGAGTATGGGAGGGTTATATATCTCACTCATAGCAGGCTGCCTAGATGCGAGTTCCTCGTGGCAGGGACCTTATGTGCTTTTCCTCCTTTTCTTACACTGCTGCCAAGCAGGAAGCCACCACACTTGAATCGGGTGTCCGTGGTGTGACGTGGGCGGGAACATGGCTACGGTCTGTGTGCAAAGACCCACGATTCTGGGATTTGCCAACAGGCCGGCACTACAGCAGTCTAAAGAGGCACAAGATGTCTTGGGGAAATGTGATCCGCCCTCCCTCCCTGGCCCTGCTCTCCTTCCCAGCTCTTTTCCAACTCCAAATTTTCGTCTCCGGTTGGCTGGCAAGGAAGAGGGTGGGTGAGCAGGTGCAAATGCTTGCTGAAGAACCCAGCCTGGGAGGCCCAGGAAGGGCAGGCAGAGCCGTGCGGTGCTTTTCGGCAGGGGCAGGACAGGGGAGACGACAGAGCCGTGAAATGACAGAATCATTAAGGTTGGAAAAGACCGTTACGATCATCAAGTCCAACCATGTGTGGACAGGTCAATGGGCAGAACTATCATAAAAGACTCATACGGGCAGGATCTGCTGCTACAACCTCCTGGCCAAGACCAGTGGCACACGACATTGTAGGTTAGTCAGAAGGCCAGGAGTCTTTCCCAGTTAGTAGGGTGCTCTGCTGTACGGCAGAGAGCTCTAGGATAATTTTTAGGCCTGCCTAACCTAGTGTTTCTACTGCGCTATGAAACCCACAGTATCTACTATTAAATATACCGTGTTAGATTTTCAGCTGGAGGTAAACCTATTTTTCCTATTTTCATATTTGTAATTGTTATTCTTTTTTTACTACCACAATTTTATTTTACCTAAACAAGTAACTACCTAATACACGGATTCTTGGCAATAAAGCGTGCCCACAAATGAACGCAGGTGCAAAAAGAAGAGATAGACTTCAATCTTCTGGCCACAAAATCTAATACATATGTATCTGTGTTTAAATACACCATTCCACAAAAAGTCTCGCTCAGTTGTTAAGGCTCTAGGACTTAACCAAAACGGGGGAAAAAATATGACCGAATCAGTGTATGATAGCCACTCTGCAGTATCTAGGGAACACAACAGAAGTGCCAGGGTAAAAATCCTGTTGCTCTGGAACCCTACTCTAATGAAAAATCTTCTGCATTTCCAGACAACTTAAACCCGAGAGGCTCTGAGCTACCTGTGAGCACATACTAGTTCACCTCCCTTAAGTCATTGTCATGCGGACATTCACAGTCCCTCGGGGCAGTGAACAACTGTAGCTCCTCTCTGTTTCTGGTTTCTGCAACTGTTTCGTACAACAAGCTGAAAACAATTGTTTTCGCCATGACACATCTGGAAGAGAATTACACACGCAAATACACAATGTTCCTGCTGCATACGCCACTCCCCACACATGCACTAACATAATTCATCTTATTTGTGTATCCACCAAATACTACCACATTTTAGATCTTGCTTATTTATCCAATAATTATATTTTGGTTCCCAAACCACCACACGATTCTAAATTTGTACGTATCCTTACTCTAAAAATAAATACGAAACCTTGTTTCCTTTGCTTTTAAAAAAAGTACGCTTAGGACTAAAAAAAAGTTCTCTTAGGGGATAACTGGTATGATTTTCAAGATTATAGACTTACTAGAGGAATGCAGCTACCACAGTACAGCTTGTGCATCTGCACGGATTTGTATTTGAAAGCTGATGAACAAAAGCCACATGTTGAAAAATTCTATTTTGCTTGGCCTACTTTCAGCGATGCCTCACCAATTCTCATTTCCCCCAAACTCCTTTTTGCAATCCCAAGATGCCCATAAGAGGCCTGGAACGCAAACTTACCGTACTCTGGCTGCTCCTTGGACTCAAATGTCCGGTGACTGGGTGCGTGACTATCCCACCCACCAAGAGGGTTTAGGAAGTTGCTGTCCTCAGTAGTGCTGTCATACTTGTAGTCCTGGTCGCCGCTGCTCATGCGAGTCAAGGTGGAGGACCTCTGCCACCAGTTTCTCCAGTCGGGTGACGGGACTGGCCAGCTAGGCTTGCTGCTCTCTTTCTGCAGATCCTTGTCCGTCTCGGTGTCAGGGCCATCCACCACTTCGATGGTAACCTATGGGATTCGAAACAGACCAGCCTGTCTGGCAGTGTCTCCTCCTAGTCACTGTGAAACTTTCTATGCAGCGAAGACAAATGACCGGTGTTACCTTGCAAAGAGGCTCCGTAACTCTGTAGGGTTCGCATGTTCTAAACCATATGCTGATCCCAGAGACATAGACTGAGTGATTCCTTCTTGCTACCTCTGCTGAATCAGACCTTGGAACAAAGGCTAGGAAAAATCCCGCACAAAATAATAACCCATGCTATGCCTAAAATCTTTGCAGCAGAATTTTCTGCCTTATGGGAAAAAGATGTTTAAACCCAAACATATATGACCAGGAAAAAGAAAGCCAAATCTGTTACTGCAATTATGTTGAGGCTGAATTTGAGGCAAGCGTGAAGCACACCAGCGTGCAGAACCTGTTCCAAGGACTTGGGCTGACCCAAGACAGGGTTGAGTAAGCTCACGAGTGCAAGGGTGGAAGATGCAGAGCCCCGCATCTCTGCTGGGTTCACACCTGCCGCTAGCGGCAGGGCCGACCCCCCCCCGCCTGCCGCTAGCGGCAGCTCAGCCCACCCCAGTGCACGGCCCTCCCCGCAGCACCCACGTTTCCATCACACAACGGCGCGGGCTGTCCTCACAGACATCATGAATGTAAATATAATTCTGCATAGGAACTAGGCTTGATTACTCCTTTTCTGTGCTGAACAATGTGTAATTATGAAACTCTTGGATAAATACTGTGCATGCCCATAGGTGGCTTTTTAAGTAGAATAGCACAGGAAAAGACATGGACCTGTTGGAGCGGGTCCAGAGGAGGGCCACAAAAATGATCAGAGGGTTGGAACACCTCTCCTATGAGGACAGGCTGAGACACCTGGGGTTTGGTTTTATACAATTGTTATTAGCAAAATCACAAGACACACACAAGAAGAAGAAAGCAAAGAGCGTCTGTGTTTCTTCAGCTACCTGCGATCCACCAAGGAGCGTGACACAGGAAGCAAACCAGAACTGCTGCCATAGCTTCATAGCTGCGGACACAGCTGCACAGACAAGACAATGCCCACGCATCCTTTTTTGGAGAAAGGAGATGCTACATCTATTTCGTGCTTTGCATTTGACCATCAACCAAGCCATTGAAATGAAACAACTTCGAGGCTACTAAGAAGCTCCACTGGGAGAAAGAGCAAGAGCGAGGGAAAGTGCCGTTGTCAGCCGAATAGCTTCTTTACACAAAAGATATATTACTCCCATACTAAATATGAAATTGGAATTACTTCATTAAACCTCAGTTTCTACAGACCCAAGAATTAAAACGGATTTCATAAGTTTGAAGACATCGAGGTTAGCTCAGGGATCCAAAATTGTTGCATCTATCCAAGCAAAACAGGATTTTCACAATAAGTGAAAGGAAACAGGGTTACTGAGCGGCTAACGCTGCACACTGCTGGGCAGTCACAGGGCTTCAGTACTGCCCACGTGCAAATGAGTATGACTCTAGTACTTTAGTAGCAAGTATTTTTAAGACCACATTAACTCTGTAAGCAATGACTCAGCGAAGTGAAAAAAACAAAACAAAACACCAAATCAAACCCTCTCATGAAAAAAGACAGGGGGCACTTGATAATCGTTCCATTTGCTTTCATAATCTGTTATTATATGATAGTGAATCAGCACAAACTCAGAATCACAGAATCACTAGGTTGGAAAGGACCTTCAAGATCATCAAGTCCAACCATTAGTCCATTATTTCCATTAGTCGCATTATTTCAGCCAGGTGCAGTCTGAAGAACCATAGGGGTTTGATATAAAGTACTTCTTCTGGATGCCAAGGCAGCTTAAGCAAAAGAGGGTTTGTAGGGACAGAGAAAGTTCTGTTGAGCTATGCGCTACGCTGGGGAAGAGAGGTGGGTGCGACGCACAAACTGCCAGGGTCACAAGACGTCATTAGACCTCCAGCAGCATTGCCACTAACTTACTTTCAAGACACATCTGTGCAATCAGATAGCCCTCTTCAGTCTGTTCTTACTACCAAGGAGGCTTATTGCAAAAGGACTTTAAAATGAGTTTTCCAACACACAGCCTATTTTAAAAATGAACGTACCAAAAGCAAAATCCAGTGTGGTAGACTGACACACACCTATATTCCTCTCTCTGCTGTTTTAAGCTTTGATCACCAAGTTTGTTTAACAAGTGGCATAAAAACCGCAGGGTGAAAGAAATGCTATAAAGGATCCTGGGATTGTCTGAACTGCCACTCTTGGAAATTAAAGAAAAGACAGCTTCAGTCGACTCTAGTTGGTTGTTTTCAGGGACTCAGCTGTGCTCTGCCCAGCCCCATTTAACTCTAATGGACCTTCCAGAGGCAGGGAGGAAATCAGTGAGTAATCTCAGTAATCCCTCCATGGCATGACCCAAAAGTTACGGCAGAGGTGTGGGAAGAGGCTGCTGCTTCAGGTGAGCAATTGCTCCCCTTTCCCAGTCCAAAATTTTGAACATTCAACGTTCACTGAATTCTTCCCAGTACTTACAAATAGACTTAACAACATTAGCCCATGATTATACATATACGTATACATGATACATATACATGATACACAAACATATATCTTGTTTGATTGCTTTCTATACTGGCGGTTGTTTATAAAAAGGAAAAAAGAAATCAGATCTAGAGTCATTAAAAATGGGCATTTAAAGCAGCTCTGGAAAAGCTTTCATGCTGTATAACTACTACAACAAAAACACGTTCTCTCAAAAATGAAAGAATAGACCTGATTTGGTATTTCTATCTTGGAGACTGTTTTAAAGACTTCATTTTCTCAGATTTCTTCTTCCAATGATTATCAAAACTGTAAAGATTGCTTTTTTTTTTCCCCTCAAGCTTCCCAAAATGCCTGTGGTAACCTGGTTCTTGTCTAAATCCACAGTCATCTCCGGAAGTACTCAGACCTAAAACGAAGCCACTTCTTTTATGGTTGCGTGAGCTATAAATAAGGATGTTCCTCTAAAAATTGTTAAAAACAATTGGCATAGGTACATTAAAACAACAGTTTTGCAGTCAATTTCTAATGAAACAAATGTATCAAGCACAGATGTCTTGAGACACCAACATCCAATTTTCTCCCAGCCAAAAATATACAGAAGATAAATATTATCCCCGCGTGTTGGAGTGCACAAGAAGTTCTGTGTACTTCATCCTGTTTACTGAGACAGTGTTTCTGAATTCGCTTTACTGGTGTAAACATTGCCCTAAGCAACTGCAAGATTATGTTTCAAGAAGAACTACGTTTGCAGTATTGTGCAAGCAGTGGATTCTACGATATGTCTATCCTCTGTTTGGTTCACGCAACTGATACAAATTTGCAATGCAAAACTTGCCATTCTGTAAAGGTGGATAAGTGCAAGTCAGCAATGAGGTAACTATAATAGCAGAACAGAAATGAGCTCATTCTAAGACACTGAAATGGTAAATTTAGGTTTACACGACATAACAACTTCAGTTAAATCGATATCGGTAGTGACACCAATTTACTCCTGGTTGTGTCATGACAGCTCACTTAGAACAGTTTTGTGGACTTGATGAAAAGAGAAGGACCCTCAAAATTTGCTGGGAGCAAAGAAGACAACGTGACTCGACATCTGAAATTTGTATTTAATGTTGTCAATCCTAGTTGTACTCTCTAATGGGCCTAAGTGAACCCCAGAATTAAAAATCTGGTCCGAAACCCAGCTCTGAATTTGGCACTCTGCAGCGACCTCTCGTTACACCACGACATTAAGAAATCTGTGCAGAGGTAATAACAGCCCTGGAACTGAAAGTGGTTTAACCGTGGCCCTCTGGCACCCTGCTCTGCCTAGACCCATCTCTCCAGCTTGCTAAGAGGACTAGCTAGTTCCCGGCATGGCTACGCCGTGCTTCTGGCGCTGCAGCTAGCTCATCAAAGCAGGCATGCTGACTGGGGAGATGGTCTGGGGTGCAGGGAGTTCTCCATGGTACAGATGCAGCCCAAGGACCAAGAAAATGAACATGTGCTCTCTGCTTTTCTGGGTCTTAATTTACAGACAGGAACAATTGCTTTGCTACTACCTTAAACTACTAAGCCTTAAAGGCATTACAAGAAATAAGCACTACTGGAGCTCTCCAGTTCTTACTGCGCTGGGTCAGGGATGAGGTGTACTGCTCAGGGTTCAGCATCACAGATACTGCTGAGTCTTGTGTGACGATACCGAAAGGGTGTTGCTTTCCAATGGAGTGAAACCAGAAGCTTGAAATGACAATATAAATGCTACCTAAAAAATAGGTCTGATAAAATGTGTTAAAAGTGACATGTGATATAGATGGCGGTGAGGGAAATGGCCATGCATGAACCCAGAGGAGCGTTGGCTTGAAGTCTGCAGTTCTTTTTTAAAAGCAGATCATACAGCCTTGTTTCTCTGGAGTTGTGTATGTTCCTAGGTGGTTCTGTATAGACGTTTTTTTGAGAAGGGAGAAACTGAATATCTATCAAAGAGAATAAATAAAGCTAACACAGCAGCATCGAGTGGCATGACTGGTAGATACGGTCCACAGGTCTCATGCAAAATGATAAAGACAACACATCACCAAGCAGGCAGTATTAACTTTTTCTGGCTTAGAATCACTCCTATCAATTATCACCAATCCCGCAACTCAAAGCGAGGATAATAATCACAACAGATTTAATCATATACTGATTTACCTCAGTTTTCCAGGGCACATCAACATGTTTTTAGGACAGGAATCCTACCTAAATTACAGTTGCTACTTGGAACCTGTCACCTCATCCAAAATGTTTAACACATTAATCGCAACTGGAACTCACCCAGCTGTGTTTCAGGTATACTGGGTGTGAAGCTTGATGATGATTCAAGTTCTCTGAAGAGCATTAATATAAACAAAATGCCCTTGCCTGACAAACATTAAGGAGTTTTCCTTTTTCTGCTCAGCTGTCATGGTGTTGAGCACTGCTAGGAAAGCAGCAAAGCAGTGGGACAGAGAGCGGTGCCCTACATATTGCATACACAAGCTTGGGAAACCAGGAGTAAAAAGAAACGGCGGGTGGGGAAACACACACAAAAGCAAAAGCTCAATTACAAGTTGAAGCACCTGGCTCCAAACAGAGGATGGGCTGCAGAGAAGAGCGGAAAGGTTGTAGAAGGCTGGTTGGAACAGATGGGAAAAACACATCAGAAATAGAAAATCAGCAGGTTTCTATACACCTCCCATGTGACTTCATTCTGTACTTGGGGGTAAAAACAATTCTGTCTTACTCTGAATAATAACCCTGCCCAATTGCAAGGTCTGCATAGGTTTCCCTCAGCTAGTTCATCAAATGAGCACCAACCTACATGAAAGGGATTTTCCACTTGTGAAAAGCAATCCAAACAAATGTGTCACCAGTTTTTGTAACCACCTTCTTGTCCAGAAGTCTTCCAGGCATTGGCAGAACCATTAAAATGACAGAAGAAAACAAGAACCCCCAAACCGAACAGCCAGCCTTTGCTCAACAGCAGCTACTGCAGTTACTCTCAAACAACCAGCGCGGATGCAATGCTAAAGTATAAAATGCCACTTGAAATGACAGCAGATTTTACAAGGCTAGAATGCCACAGAAAGACCAGTAAGTGTCGTCCTGGTCTTGCAAGCAAAGAGTCAAATTGCATTTGGATTACTGCAGCTTCGACCGTTGTTTCTCAGATTTTTCTAGAAGACAGTCCACTATACTTATATTTGATTATCACCTGATAAATACTGTAGTACCTGGGGACATACTATTTTTCTGAATTCCTGTGATGGTGTTCTGATACCTACCACTTCCTTCCTGAAAGAGCACACAACCAGGGCATGATACAGCAATTGCTGTCTCGCAGGAAACCAGGGAAAGAATGGCCGTAAAGAGAACGCACTGGAGTATCTTCTCAACCTGCTTTTTCAGGCTGAGTTTTATGTATGCTTATTAGGTTTTTTAAACTTCCAGATATAATTTCCCTTAACAATGTCACTTTTGGCCTATGCAGGTTTGTACGAGTAGAAGAGAAAACAGGCTGTGGGTCTTTGAGAGGTAAATGTGGCCATTGTACCAGATGGACACACAGAGGCTTTTTTCTCCTTTCCAAACTCACTGTCCTAGGAGGACTTTTGAATCAACACCCTCAGGATTGTAACTTACAGAGCCCAAAGACTTTGTGCCAAAAGAAAAAGGAGTATCGATTCTGCTCTCATCTGCCAAACAGCTGATGAGAAATTTTTAAGTCAACCAGTGTCATTATTTCCACTCAGGTCAGTACGGTTCTGTTTCACAAGCAAGAATCCACTATAATCCTGTTCTTCCCCGAAAGAGTAGGCCACCTTTTAGAACCTTTAGGCAGAGAAATAACCTTTCATTGACTTAATAGGAGTTTTATAGGCTCCACAAAGCCTGACCTGCTGCAGGACTGTCAACCAGGAACTTAAAGAAGCTTTGTATATCCCTGCTTATACACCTAAGCAAACAGAGTAAATATAATGCAGAACTTAGGGAGCCTGTTTCTGAAAGCGCTGATCCTTGTGCACAAGAGCTCTGGGATTAATGTTGCCCAACGTTTTCTAGTTACAGGACTCGGCTTCCCAGTTCTCAAAGTGCAGCAAAACTGCTGACATAGCTGGCTGACAGGTTTCCAAGATCAGGTGGTGGAAAAAGAGGTCATAGCAGAAGCAGTTACTGTAAAGACAAGCCAGGGAAATGTTTCCATCTCATTTATCTATTCCCTGGGTCTAAACATTAAATGCTGTTACCACTCTGAGAAGGTTTTTGTTTCCTCCTGTCCTCCTCTGTGGTTTACATACTGTTCAAACAATGACGTTACACTCCTTACCTCACGGCACAATCTGGGGCCCCTACAGCTTCCCTACCTTCCCTTCCTAAGGCTTTCTGGAAGGCTTTTCCTCGCGTGAGGGATGTGCACAGCCACCACATGTTGAACATGTTTACTACCTTGGCCCATCAAATATTGGACCTGCACTTGATCCAAATCTGTTAGGTTTCTTAAGGTTGCAAGCCATCTCTGATGTAATGGAGTGTCAACTTGGAGGCAGCTTCTTCTCACCCAATAATGTTGGTCTCTCACCAACAGATCTATTATATCTTTACGTACGTACTTCTTAGACATATCAAAAGGATGGTAATTTTGTGGGCTGAGGGACTATAAGAAGCCAGGAATTAATTTAACCAGAAAACCAGTTCTATTAGTGTATTGTTTTTATAAGCACATCTTAGGCAGAACAACAATTCAATTTATTGTTTTGGTTAAAAAAGACTGCTTATTAATGCCAATTTTGCTTTAAGGCTCTGAATTAAAAACAAATCGCTCATTTTTTCCTCTTTGTAATCCTTGAAGTTTTAAGATGCAAGTGGCTTGTAAGAGGCCATTCTAAACCCAAGAACAGTTTGAGGAATAACATATAACAAAATTTCTTGCAGACAACTTTTTTTTTACTCCAGGCAGCTGGAAATTAACTTTAAGTCTCGGTTCCATACCAGAGGACCACATTTTGAGCTGAAACTTAAAGACTTGTTCTCTTTGGGGATGGCTGCATTTTATAATAGCATACCAAAAGAGAATCTGTTCACAGACAAGTTTTGCAACAGAGAATTGAAAACAGAATTTAAAATACCCATTTAATATCAAAGAAGAGAATATGTTCTAAAATGGCAATAGCAAAGATGACTTTAGTATCATAAATACGTCTATACAGATACCCACACTTACGCAATCAACATTATCCAAAGAGAAATTCAGAAAAAAATTGAAATCTGTGTATTCACTTAAGACAAAAAATGCATTATATATATATTCATTTTATATATATACATTAAAATAATGTACATTATATTATATCCATTCTCTCTTGGTACTACTGGTTAGAGAGACAGCGTGTTCTGACTGCATGTTAACGGAAGCCAGGCTGAAAGTTCTCTTGGTTCAGTAAAATAATTTTGTGCGACTCATTAAAAAAAAAAATCACACACTAACATAAATTTGTACCTGAATGTTGGGATTCTGCCCATTGATATCCGCTTTTGACAGGTCAGGGAAGTTTGGGAGATCCAGAAGGAAAGATCTGGGTCCATCTCTTTGCAAGGACGTATGCCCATTTTCCTGCCTGAAGCGCTGCTTCGGGAATGGCCGGTGGGCTGCCTGGAGATCGGGGTATTCTCTTCTGTCCTCGGGGTTCAGGGTGAAGCTGTCTTCAGGAGAATGGTCATCTGCAGTGAGTGTGTTCTGGGAAAAAAGCAACATGCTATAACAACAACTGAGAGAGCATGCTGTCCTGCCAGTGTCCCCGTCTCCAGCTTCCTGCCAACGACGGCTGCAGAGTGCGTACAGAAATCCTTACGGCACACAGACCCATGGCTCGTTACTGAAACACGCAGGATTTATGACTCGTATTTTCTAGGGTGCTCGTGCGTTTGCCAATTGACTCTCACTGAATACTTATTTACAGCAGTACAAACCTGTAACCACCTGACACAAGCTAAAACTGAGTCAGATGTGGGTGCGTAGCTTGCTGAGGTTCCTTTAACGCTCCAGCCTTGCGTTGAGCACCTACACATTGACACAAGCATCTAACTTAAAGCAAATCTGGAAGCATGAAGCTCTGAAGGAACCCCTGGCAAATCAAATTGTATCACATTAAACATGTCCCTGAAATGGTGAAGGGTGTCTTTATTATAAACCATTTTAGTTTGTTCTGTTCCAAAGTGAAGGAAAAAACACTGACTGCTCAGTGCATGTTGAAATTTATGGTCTTAAAAGATCCCACTGCTGAACTGGCAACCTCCCCCACTCTCTCCTCAGTCTGCAACAACTTCCATCTCGTCGTCTGTGTTCCTCACCCAATTTCTCTGGTCTGAACCTTCCTTCCTCTGGGATCTCATTTTCATGTTTGCCTAATGGTGGGATTGAATTTCACCAACTTGTGGGTCAGCGGTTAATGCTTTTGTTATTGTTGTGCGTACTTTTGGGTTTTGTAGTATATTACAGCAGGCTGCCTTCAAACCAGTAGTGCTGCTGCCACTGCCTTTGACCTCACCATGGAGATAGATACATTTAGTATCAAAACACTGGCTCCCTGGGTTAGGACTGGTCTGGGGACTCGGGGGAAAAAACCAGCAGACAAGTCAAATCTTCTTCTGGCTACAAAAAAATGCATGGGGCAGATTCAGCACAGGTTTTGCTTTTGACTCAGCTGAAAAATTTTAGGCTTGAGGTCTTGGTATGACTGCCTGGGGAGCTTTTATTTTCAGTTCATAAAGAGACAGCAAGCATGGAGAGGGTAAATGTTAAAGACCTATCTTTTCAAACAAGCACAATTAAAGTGGAATGGCCACACATGGTTCTGGCTTGACTGAAGCATATTTTTGCCAGCATTTCTGGTTAAACGCAATCTCCATACAGCTCCCCTGGCTCAAATTAAGCTAGCATACCTTCTGTTAAGCTCTCAAATAGATAACAGTCCCAATGCCTTTTCTTTTATTCTGTGTTTATTTGCTTAGAAGGCTCTAAATTGACCTTTGAAGAGATTTTACAATATAATCTGTGCACTTTACAGGAAAATATTTAGTGAGCTAAATAAAGCAAGATTTAAGAGTTAATCTGGGACTAAGTGAAATCATCTCAAGCAAAAACTAAGGAGGTCCTTCTCTCCCCTTCTCACTGCACTGCATTTGTAAAGAGCAAAATCAGATTTAGCAGAATTCATGTTGTCTTGGTATTTCCATGATCAGAACAGTTACACTTTGAAAGTGCCAAAAGGGTACTTTTACACATCTATCTACAGCGCAGATGCAAAAAATTAATTCTGAATTAGTGTACGCGTGCGGTGCTAAAAATGTGTGTGCACCTCACAGTCTGTATTGCTTGAAGGCTAAACCAAGAAAGCTTCTCTGTTGAAGACCAGGTAGGACTTCCAGATGCCTTCAGCAGGCTACCTATTAACGCACCCCTTATTCAATATAAAGCAGAAAGCAAATCACACAGCAGCAAGCTCTGGGAAACAAAATTGAGGGCCACTCATCTACCTGTAGGTTCCTGACCCATGTGCTAGTGCTTTAACTTAACACTTACCAAACAGAATTTAACGGCAAACTTCTTGGTGCACAAGGATTAAATGGCTTCTCAGTTATGTCTGAGAAGGTATAGTTGTGTTCTTATTAAATTACTTCAGACAGGAACAAAAAAAAAAAAGTGGTACTTTACTTTTTTCTGGGTATCATGCCCATAATCTTGTCTTTATTAAAAATAAAGTGAGATTTTATTAAAAAATAATAAAATTCTCACACACAATTTCATACTTTCCCTATCTACTTTGCCACTTCAGGAGCATCTTGATTCTCCACATTAACATACCATACCGCTAGAGCTGGCCAAGGGCTTTAGAAACCTACATTTAATTCTCTGATAAGACTCACTGTGTGATCCTGGCAGGTCACGGTCTGTCTGTGCCTTGCTGGGGATAACAGCACTTCCCTTCCTCACTGTGATGTTTGCGGGGAGCTCAGCAACTACAATAATAAGGGCTATATAAAAAGTTTTTAATAGTGTCAGACAGATGGAATATCACATGGAGTTAGTTAGAAAATTGTCATGGTGAAGTAATGACATCAGGCTGATCGGGCCCACTACCAAGCTGCTTGGGGCAGGGACTGTCATTAATTACAGACTGAGTTGGGGTTGTTTAACATTAAAAAGAAAAACAGAGGGGGACATAACAACTGTCCTACACCAAAGGCTGCTGCAGCGAGGAGGGGGATGGACCACTCTGCTCAGGGTGGACACGATCAGAAGACCCTGGTTCAACGTTAGGTACACATTTCTAATGGCAGTGACAGCCAAGCTCCAGAGCAGAGGGGGGAACGTGAAGTTTCTTCTTTAAGAGCAGGGTTGACTAATGCCTGGCAGGAATGTCACAAGTTAAGTGGTGTGTCCTCTGCCTAAAAAGCAGTCCCTTTCACGCTAGGGCAAGACCAGGCTATGCTTCCTTGGGGCTTCTGTGTCGTACTGCAACAGAAGCAAACAGAAATGCTCAATATGCATGATCATTTCAGTTACCTGCTCATAGTACCGTGAGCGAAAGACCATTTGTTTCCAGTTCCTAAAATAAATAGAATGCCTATTTTTTAGGTAGATAATTCTTGGTGTAGTGTCTAAGATGATTTGCAGCATTATTAAAAATGTATATTCTGGTAAAAAGATAAAAGAGGCTGCCATCAATAAAAAGTGAGCTTGAACCGCATATGAAGAGAAGAATATGGGCTCACTCTCTTTTACTGCATTAACTCAGACAAAAGATCTTCCAGGGCCAATCTAGTAGGAAAAAGTGTGTCCTTACTGCAATACCAGAATCCTTTCTGAAGAAAACAGCGTTTGTGTTCCTAAGCTAACAAATGAAATTTCTTTTTTTTTGGTTTTTTTGGGGGGGTTTGGTTTTTTTGGGTTTTTTTGGTTTTTTTTGGGGGGGGGGGGGTGGGGGGGTACTCAGATGGCACACTTAGTGGCATCTGAAACATTCTTATTTCTACGTTATTTCACATGTTTATACTTCACCTTATTTGATTTTAGGTGTACACAATTTGCATTCACAATTGCTTTTGGGAAAGCAGTGTTGCTTGCCTTCCTTTAAAAGCTATGTCACTTCATTCTGAACTACTGACTCAGTTTCTTTCAAGTTACGACATTTCCAATTCAGGCACATTGGTTTCTTACTCAAATGATGCATCTGCTCTAAATATTTTAAGACAAATCGCTTTTCTTCCTTCATTTAACAGGATTATTCACAACTTTTAAACTTTCCATTAAGATGATTTTAAGGGGTTACTCATGCTTGCTGTCAGCTACAGTTCTGTTGCCCCATGGGATGAGATATTTTTAGAAGTTCCTAATACAAAACCAGCTTAGGATTTCTGAGTGTTCTAAGTGTGGACAGCATATAAGGGCAGGAACACATTATTCATAGCTGTGTGACAAGGCAACGAAATCAACCCTAGAGAGAGAAAATCTGCCATATGGTTTGTACGACGGAATAACACACCTTGCCACGCCCATCACTCAACAAGGGAGGGCAATACTTCAGTACCTGTCAATGTCTTTGTGCCTATCTATAAGCCAGGGAAGAAGAGCAATTCACAGGGATTTTCTGAGGATAACTTTCAACGTTGATGATCCAGGCAGGACTTGCACCATGGCAGTGTTTAAGGCACCAAGAGACAACCCTGCAGCAGGAAAAATTTCCTACCTGATGCTGCAGTTTGACTTTTCAATAATCAAACGGGTATTTTAACTCCCTCTGCTGCCTTCCTATTTTGTTTCTCCCTCTGTCATGTCAGACATCAGCTGCAGGAAAGTTTCTCTTTCCCACAGGGAAGTTAAACAGAAAAGGGAACTTGTAAAAATACCAAGCTAGGGAAAAAGGGAACTTCTCTGCATTTTTCGCAAGTGAGGAATCCCCCTCCCTTCTCTCTTCCTCATTTTAATCCCATTTACAGTTCTGGAAAAATAACCAAAATAACAGACAATAAGTGAGGAATGACTGGAGCTACAGAAAACATTCTGGAGTAGCTGTTCTTTCTCTGTCCTTCATATTTCCTACCCTCCTTCATTCCCTCCCCACTTGCCAAACTAAGGGCACGTTTGCAAGCACTGCTAATTATGGAGTTGAAAGAATTTGGGAAAACTGATGGAACTTATATCCCTAACAGCTCCCAGACAGCAAGGGAATCTATTACTAAATCCCTGCTGCAGCTACATTGCTTTTTTATTTCTTGTGTACTCCTTTGAAATATCTTGTAAAATGATCTTGACAAGAGGTCTTGAATTGAAAACCGACAGTCTGTCAATGCACTTTCATGATGCACCTGTACAGCATCTTCAACCACCAGGAACAAGGAACGTTTACTTATTAGGAAACTTCACAGACGCTATAAAAGATTATATTGCTATCAGAGACAAAATGAGGCCTGGGGCCTTCACAGAAAACCATTATAGCCATTAGGACTGGTTTCATTTCCCACCTGCCTAAACAGATTGTTTTGATTTTGAAGGCTGTCGTGTGTTTCCAGGTTAGTGCTAAATGATCACTTTAAAATTAACCGGTCTGGGGAGGCTGAGTAACACACCAGGATACTACATGAGACTTTCACCTCTGCAGATCCAAGATCTGTAATGAACTCGGGTGATCTAATTCCTGGGTTTTAGTATTTTTTTGTCTATCATGAGTATAAGCAGCACAGGACCTAGCAGGAAGAGGTATGGGAACAGGGTTAGGCAAGCGGACAGTGAGGTTTAACAGCTGAAAAGCATTATCAGAGATACAGGGAGAAAAATTTCTTTTACGATTAATGCCACATACAGTCC